TAATGGGCAAAGTTAAAAGCAGGGGCTGGATTGGGGAGAAGCTGTTGTGATCAGAGCATCTCTAGAAATGTACAGCTCTGTAAAGTGAGACCTTGAACCTCGGGGAAGCCCTCTCTGTGATCCTGTGTGGACCCTGCAGGACCTGATGGTGCTTTTCTGTCTCACAGCTTCCCGTGGAAGACGACATTGATCTGAGTGATGTGGAGCTGGACGACTTGGAGAAAGATGAGTTGTGAGAGGTTCAACACAGACCTCAGTTTCCTTTTCTTGGGAGCGGATTTTCCAGCAGTGCAGGAACATGCTTTACAATCAGATGAATCTACCAGTGGCCTTTTTAACCAAGAAGTAGCACTTGATTGGTCATTTGAAAACACTGCAATGGTGAACTTTTGCATCTCAAGAAAACAGTGAAAAATTCTATGAATTGTAGCCAGCGAATTGGGTTGTATTTTGTTAGGTAGTGTTTTGAAGAAAGCTGATGGGCTCTTGAAATGGTTTTCCCTCCCTCTGACCGCTGCTTGAATGTTCTTGGAGGCTGTTTCTTACACATGAGTTTTTTAATGTGATCCTTTCATTTGAATATTAATGGCTTTTTTCCATTAAAGAATAAAACAATATTTTGGACAATGCCAATAAATGTATGAAATTAGTGTCCACATCATAAATTCAGATTCTGGTATTTAGCCATAAAGTAATACTATGAAAGGGTGACCTCTCCTTGTAAACTGGTTCACAAGACACCATCGGATGTCTGTGTCCCCACACATAGTTTACATGTGTCCTGCAAGGCTGAGTCCCACCTGAGAGTGTGAACTGTAAATCGAGTTTACACAGAAGGATGAAAACAATGGATTGTCAAGTGAGAACTGCAGTCCATGCCCAGTATTCTGTCTCCAGGCCGTCCCCAGTGACTGCCGGGGAGGACAGCTGGTTATGCACTTAGTCTGAGGTTTCCAGTGTTGTTACTAAACCCTCACAAAGCATTCAGATGTGTCTTTCACTAAGACGTGAAATACCACAGCAGGTTACCAATTTATGAGAGGTCCCCATTTGTGTAAAACATTCAGAAAATTGAAGTTTTGAATTATGTTAGAATATGAGTGAACAGACAGTTCAGAGGACTGAGAACATTTCTTTTATTGTAACTTAAAAAAAATAAATACAACTGTAACTAATTTTGTGAGCAGTTTCTCTAAAAATCTAAATTCCTTAGGATACTTGAGGTGCTCTCTGGCTGAAGGGAAGCAGCATTTGCGGGGATGTGCAGTGGCACCGGCCCACCTTCCTAGTCAAGGAGACTGAGGTCAATGTGGAAATAGACGTAAGGAAAGTAGTCTTGGTTGCTGAGTTGCAATCCAGGGATCTCCACGGATGCCTACAAAGAAGACACCGTCATGTTCACAGCGCATAAACTTGTCTCTGTCGGAGGAAGCTCTAGGCACTGACCGGATTTCCTGCCCCACGCCGTGCCTGCCTTCCCGCAGCAAACCGCTCCCCCCCCCAAAAAAAACGCCCCGACTTCCTGTTAAACTTTTGTTTGCGAAGCGTAGATTTCCATGACAGTCTGGCACGTACCACTTTTGGAAAGTAACTCCCATGTAGAGAGGCTGACCTTACTGTAGAAAAACAGCTTTTTCTGGATAATATACCTACATCCAATATACTTGCAGCTGCTACTTCATCCAGATGTCTGAAGACAGAGTTCAGAACCTCTCTTAAACGTTTGGTGGATGACTTCTTATGAGGCTGGAGGAGCACCGCCTGGAAGTTGACTGGCAGCCCATACCTGTTCGGATAGAGAAAGTGTGTAAATGTTACTGCAAGTGTAAATGTGGGTAAAGTGAACCTGAGAGTTGGCTCCATTAAGAACGAAAAAACTTCAGCCAATATAGCTGAGGGAAAGAAACCTCAGTTGAGTGAAATACCGAGTCAGAAGTGGGACTAATTACTAGATCTTTTCTGCATGGGAAACTCTAGAACACACTAACCACTTGTGATAGATTTTGACTCCAGAGCCAAGAGGGCCCCCCTGGTGTGTGATCATCAGGTGGTGAGGGCTCGAGTTGAATGAGGCCGTTGGACTAAATTCTGACTCCAAAGCATTTGTCTAAAAGTCAGCTTAGCTGATTGATTTCTCTGCAGCAGAACAACCCATCCCCCCAAAAAAGAAAAAAGTGGTTTATCAAGATTATTCCCTATCCTGAGCTTTGAGCGGATGGAAAGGGCTTTAAAGGGACTTTGTATGCCTGAGTACCTTTGAAACCACTTACAGCCATTCCCGTGGTGGTATCTCAAAACAGTTGAAATATTTACACTGAATACTATATAAATAGTAAACATGTGTTTTGTGATTGTCAATGTTTTTTTCAAAAATACACTATCAGTGAACAGATCTTGGGTGTTCAGTACGTACCACGCACGCTGCTGCGTGCCCAAGCTGGGCATGTGACCTGTCCTTGAGATGCCCTTTACTGCCTGGCCTGTTAGTATTACTTAGTTTTTATTTCACCATCAGTGCCCATAAGTTAGCCCCTGGCTTCTCAGTCTCACTTCTGGCTGCTAATGGGGCAAAGTGTTCACTAAAATCCTGAGGTCTCCTAGCGGATCTGAAGAAAGGCGAAGTAAATGTGAAAGGGCTTCACTGTACCCAAGCACTAAGACCTACCTAGTGGTGGTGTCTAGAACCCTGGGTGAGGGGGATCAATGGGACCCCAGCTAAACCAGTGCCCAGATGTGCCCAGGGCAGGGGCACTTGGGCTAGATCGTGGCTGAGAGGATGGCCCAGCCAACCACCCTCATTCCTTCTTTGTTCCCATCTTTTATCATCAAAGCTCTGCTGTTCCCCGTGGAACAAAGCAGCGGTCGTCTGGATTACTGGAGAGCCCCTAATACCTGAATGAGCAGTCACCTCGCCCTGCCTTCTCTCCTGAACTTCCCACCCCAACTCCCAGTGCTCTGGGAGCCCACCCACCCCCCTCCACCTCAGCAGAGCAGCTCTCTCCCTGCTCACCACGGAAGTCGGAGGAACAACCTTGCAGCCTTCTCAAAGGAAGATGGTCACGGATCCCACACCCTGGTCAGCATGTATGTCAGGAGACGGGCATTCTAGCTCCCAGACGCAACTGCTAGACCATCGCTCCGCTGCCCGCACTCAAAACCTTCCTCTGTCACCACTCTATTGCCGTCCTCCAACCTGGTCATCCCCCTACAGTCACTGCCAAGTTGCTCTGGAAGGTAGTTTATCCTTCTGAACAAGGACCCCGCCTCTGTGCTCTCCTCCCCTGCCCAGCCTGTGAGCTCCTTCCCGCTGGCATCTTGTTCACCGCTGTATCCCCGGAGCCTGGCAAATAAGAGCCACGCCTTAATCAACACTAAGTCAGTGCCTCTCGTCCCTTCACCCGCCTCCACGCCCTGGACCCCTTTCAGCCCACTCCCCTCTGGAGTGGAACCCCCTCAGAGTTCCCACATTCTTCCCAGAACCTTCCAGTCTTTCCCTGCTGACTCTCCCTCTGGACTGATGTAGAGGAAAGCCTTCTCCACTACACTCTGAACATGCCTTCCAGAAGCGGGGCTGGCTCTCCCCGCTCCTTTCTCCTCCAGCCCCGCCCCCGTGCTCTCCCTCTGGGACTCAGGAGAGATCACTGGTGGGGAGCCCTGCACCCCTCCGTACTGAGAATACCGCAGCCATCACCCTCCTTCAGGCTTCCTCGACTGCTGTCCCCTCCCCTTTGACATGTCCCCATCGTGCCCTGTTTAAAATGAAAACTTCCTCAACCCCCTCCTGCTCTCATCCCACATTTGAGAATATACAGCGTCTTTCGTCTTTTTTAGCCACTGCACTGGCTTCTCACACCGATGACTGTCCAGTGGCCCCATCCCAGAGACGTGTAAAGCCTTAACCTTCCACTCCCTTTGACTCACTCGTCTCTCCCTCTTCCAGCCTCGACTGATTTCCCCACGGGCCTCTCTGCCTCCACCCATTAAATGTTCGGCTCAGTGAGATGCGCCTATGGTACGTTCCCTGTAAATGACTCTCCCTAGGTGAACCCATCCACGCACCTCAGTCACCACTGATGGTTTCCTATTACCTGTTCTGCCCCAAGACCTCTCCCAAGATCCAGACTATTGCCCAGCTGCCTGGCCAGCTTCCCCAGTCTCGTGGCCCAACCACTCACCTGGGGCCTGTTTCCATTCTCTTGGGTGATTTAAGCTTCACCCTGAGAACGAACTAGCACTTCCTCAACTGAGGGCTGGTCCACTTCTCTCTGATTTTATTCAGTCCACAAACATTGAGCACCCACTCTGAGTCCGGGCTGGGGGACAGAGGCAGAGGCGAGTCAGCCCCAGCCCTCCCCTCCCTCCCCACCGCTTCAGCTCTCAGTGTAAGTGCTAACTGGGGGCAAAGACTGGATGGGGGCGGTGGTCAGAGGAACCGAGACACAGGCGAACTTCACCTGTCTGCTCTAATCAGCGTGCTGGGTTAACATCTATTTTCTTAGATTATGTTCTCTCCATAGGATGGAATATGGAAAAACCATTAAAAAAAAAGGAATCAGGTAGCTCTATACATACTGATGAGGCTATAATGCAAAGCAGATGAAAAAAGCAAGTTGCAGAACAGTAAGTATAAATGATCCCACTTGGGGGATGAGAAGAGTAGAAACAATTAACCAGGATTACCTATGGGCAGTGGGACTGCAAGGAACTCTTACTTTCCCTAGTATATATTTCTGTACTTGAATTTTTTTTATCTTACTGTGTTCATGTATTACAACTCTATTTAAGAAAAATAAAAATATGGTTTTTAAAAATGTCATATATTGATAGTTTTCAAAACTATTTCTGCCTATACTTTTAAGGGAAATACTCAGTTTTATCAAGCTTAAAAAAGATACTAAGGACATCCATCTTGACCTGTCTCTTGAGCAAAATGGACAACCGTAAGGATGGGCAGGCTGTGCAGCATGGGGCCTGAGGACCACTGATTTTTCAGGTGGGCAGGGACAGTCGGGCCCTCCTATACTGTCAATGGCTAGAACATTCCAAGTTATCTTGAGTGCGTCTTTCAGCCTAATGCCATGATTCTTGCCATTAGACGTGTCTGGCGAGGGGGGTGATGAGAAGTGCTGGTCAGACCTGGTCTGTGTTTAGACAAAACCACATTGGCAGCCATGTGAAGGACAGAAACAGAGGACCAGGTAAGAGCCTTTGGCAACAGCCAGGCAGGTGAGACAGGAGAGAGGGAAGAGAGAGAACAAAGGCAGGATGGCAGGCCCGCCAGGGATGGAGGGTAGCAGGGGGAGGGAGAAGGATCTGAGGATGAGAGAGCAGAGGCCCCCACGCAGGCCCTGAGTTTTGGGGAAGGGCGTGAGGGCACAGGCAGAAGCAGGGAGGAAGGAGGGAGGGGCCAGGAGGGAGAGGAGCCAGTATCTGGGTGAAGCCTCTGCAAGGAGAAGGAATGGCAGAGGGAGGCCAGGAAGCCCTGGCGGGAAAGCGAGAGCAGGGGAGTTGACCGGGGAGGTGGTGGGAGGGGAACTGAGTCAGGGGTGCTGGGGAAGGGGCCAGCGAGACCACCCCAGAGGGGCCGAGGGTGGAGGAGCCTGGAGCCTGAGGGCGGGAGCAGGCCAAGCAGGAGGAGGGGGCAGCCAGGACCCCCCAGGACATGTTCAGGACACAGGACATGTTCAAACACAGTAGAAAGCGGGCTTCAAAAAATATTTCCTGTTTGATTCCATTTTTGTAGAAATTTAGTAAAAAGTATGCATTATCTATAAATTCAAAAACACAAATCTGAAGGATGCTAGTAACTCCAGCCCGCTAGCAGTATTTCCTCTTGGTGTTAAAGTTACAGGTGATTTTTATTCATCCTTTTTGCTTATCTATTGTTTCTAAGTTTCCCACAGCAAATTTTTGTTAAAAAAAAAAAGGTAAAACAAGTTGTGTTGTGGGTTGGGTTGGGTTTGGGTTTAGTTTTGTGCTGTCATGAGGGCTGGGCGTCAAAGGTCCAGGACAGAGACAGTGCTGGTGTTTCTTCCAAGAGCCACTGGGCCCTAGAAGGCTGCACAGAGCACCGGACAGCAGGGGGCCTCAGGGCTGAGGGAAGGTTAACTTGACTCAGCAAACCCTAAGCCTGTTGCCAAGAGCCAGAAGGAGTGGAGGAAGAGGGCAGGACGGC